CCGTGCGCCGCGCAGCCCCTGCTCGGGGCAGGGAAGGGGCTGGTGGAGCGTCCTGCGCCCGGCATCGCACCTCCCTGAGCTCGTCGGGCCCCTGCGCCTGCCCTTCAGCGCCCGGCATCGTGCTGCGAGGAGGAAGTGGGGGAAAAGATCATTCAGGTGACGCTGGCGCGTACCGGCGCTTCCGCTTTCTGAGTTTGTGCTGCTCTGCTCTGGGGAAGGGCGAGGGTGGATCTTAATGCTGCACTGAGGAGCTTTGTCGGTGCGTTTCCTCTCGATTCCCACCCAGCCGGGCGTAGGTTCTGAGCAGGCAGTTGTCCTTTCGGTTCCTGTCCGCCTTCAGAGCGGAGCTGCTCTCCCTGCTGCCCCTCAGGCGGAGCGTGGCGAGTTTGATCAGGAGCGCGGGTGAATCATGAGATTTGCGTGCCCCAAATATCAGCAGTTCTGCACTGAAAATACCTATTATGGTAAATAACTGGAGAAATGTCTCCCTTGCCTAGCCCCCGGGTCGCGCTCCCATGCTGCCTGACTCCGTGCCTCGCTCTCGCCCCCTGCTCCTCTCCAACTTTTCTCCACCTTTAATACCCGGACGGCAGCGCTGGGGGGGCACCCAGAGCCACACCAGGAGGGTGTCGGAGTCCCACACACGAGCTCCTTGCCAAGGTGAAGGAGTTTTCCGAAGCCATCCCTGCTGTCCTGTACCGTCCCTCCAGCTGCCCAGTGGTGCCCAGTACCCCACAGACCCAAACTGGAGGAGCACTGGTGTGCTCAGCGTTCGGTCTGTGTGAAACAGGCAGCTCGAGCCTGGTCCGGTAACGGTCTGGGTCAGGGAGAGCCCCTTCTGCAACTGCAAAACCCCCCAAAAACCCAGGACGGCGGCAGGAGGGCAGCCCCTGTCAGCTCACTCTCCTGTCTGCACTGAGCCGGCGCAGCACGTGTTCCCAGGCGAGTGGCAGCGGCTGGGGGCACCTGAGAAACTTTATTTTTCTCTATTTTTTTAAACAAGCGAGTCAGCATTTGTAGGATACCCTATGGGGCCTCCAGCATCAGAAGGACACGGACCGGCTCGAGCAGGGCCAGAGGAGGCCACGGAGATGCTGGGGGGGCTGGAGCCCCCCTGTGAGGACAGGCTGGGAGAGTTGGGGGTTCAGCTGGAGGAGAGAAGGCTCCGGGGAGACCTTAGAGCGGCCCCCCAGGGCTGAAAGGGGCTGCAGGAAAGGGGGGGGACTCGTCATCAGGGGGTGTAGAGATAGGGCAAGGGGTGTTGCGTTTAAACTGTGAGAGAGCAGAATTAGATGAGATCTAAGGCAGAAATTGTTCCCTGTGAGGGGGGTGAGGCCCTGGCACAGGCTGCCCAGAGAAGCTGTGGCTGCCCCCTCCCTGGCAGGGTTCAAGGCCAGGTTGGACGGGGCTTTGGGCAACCTGGGCTGGTGGAAGGTGGCCCTGCCCGGGGCAGGGGGTGGCACTGGATGATCTTTATTCCCTGTTCCAGCCCAAACCCTTCTGTGGTTCCATGTTGGGGGCTCTCATCTCCTGGGGCTCTTTGCTTGCACTGGGGACCCTGTTTTCCCCTCACAAGGCTCCGGTGAGCGCAGGGTGGGGGTGTGGGGCAGGGGGGTC